AACATGTTTTGAGTTGTAATTTGTGCCTGTGTTTTATGCTGGACCGCTAGAGTGAAGCTTTTACTGTTCAAGTGAAGTATTTGATTTCTCAATAATTCAAGAAGTCTGCAAAAAAATTGAGAGTTTTGTTTTAATGCTCGAGCGAGCTTTCCATCGCTCGAGCGAAGACACTTAAGGCTTTTTCGCATATAAGGCACACCGCTTGCGCAACCATTCCTACACTCAAGCGGTCTCTGCGATCCTATTCACTATAAAGCTATGCGAAAGTCAGATTTTAGGATTACGGCTTCCAGATCTTATTCTTGAGAGTTAGGGTTTTTCTCTAGAGCTTTTTGCTTGTTTTCCTTAGATATCTTTGTGAGATTATTTGATGAGTTTACTAGATTACATCGAAAGGGTTGTTTGATCATTCTATTCAAGAGAGTTTGTTCGGTGGATTCTAAATATTCGAGCGTGAAGGCTTTGAAGGAGTTCAAAGCGGCTCGTTATCATGGATTCGACGTGGGTGTTGTGGATTCAACATCAAATTAATCAATTCTGAGACGAAGGCATTGGTGAAAGAGGCACAAGTTGTGAAAGACAATTTTACAGAGTGTTGGGTAAATTGTTTGGTAGTCTTGAGTATTTTTATTCTTTATAGTGGATTGATTAGTGGCGTTTTGCCCATGATTTTTTAATCACAAATGGAGGTGCTCCAACTGTTATTTTTTTCCATATTAAATCATTTGTGTCAATATATTAATTGTGAAATAACAATCTAAATCACTTTCGTACGTGCTAGATAATTTAGATTGTTAGTTTTGGTTGTTTGGAAATTGTTGGAATTAAATCTGTTTTGAATCACGAATCACATAGATTTTTCACCTGTGAAATTTTGTGTTAAATTCATGCATATATTGCCATCATCAAAAATGGAAAGATAGTTAATCATGTGATTTAATTTTGATAATGTCTAAAATATTATGAAATAAGTTGTGATTTTTTCTTTTTTTTTTTACAATCATGTGACCCAAAATATAAAAATAAAATTTGTCATTTTGATTTAAATTGCACCAATTTAAAAATAACTAAATTTATTGTTCATATTTTGAATACTTTAATTTAATTCAAATTCTTTCCACATCTTTTCTTATTCACTTTCTTCCTTTTTTTGATTTGAAGTGTTTCTTGGCAAAAATGATGAAAGTCCAAATAGCTAATGAATTCAAACGGAAGAAAAATACAAGGAAAGAGGAGCCTACCTAGAATCCAACGACTATATATATATATTTTAATGGCTATAAAAGAAGCTTTGTGCAGAAAAGAAAAGACATGAAGTAAAGAGGAGAAAAATCTGTTATATTGAAATATTCTCATAAATTATATTGTGCTTCATTTAGTTGTATTTTCTGTGAGAAAATTTGTTGAGAATTTGAGCAAAACTTGTAAAAGGAATTTTCACACCTTTCTTATTATTCTCGTAAAAGAGAATTTTTGTGAGTGATTTTTCAGGACAAAATCACTTGGGTTAAGTGTGACTAGGCATCGGATTCTAAACTAGTCGAAGTGATAGGATTTGATCACTTGTTATCAAGGTTCACTATCACCCGTGAAACTAGTGGTGTAATTACTATTTGAAGAATAGTGGAAAAAATTTCAAGGAGGATACTAGAGAGTGGGCATAGGTTCGGCGTGCCGAACCACTATAAATCACTGTGTTTGAACCCAATCTCTTTTACGTTATATATTGATTATTATTGCTTTGTTATTGTATTTGTTAAAATTCAACTATAATTAATATTGTGAAATTATTTTTAATAACCCAATTTACTCCCTCTTGGGTTTCCTTTATAGGTAACAACATATAAGTTAACAAACACAAAATAAGTTATATGACGACTTTGCCCTTCAAATAGAGCAACACTGTCTTCAATTGACCTTATTTAAAATGAGATTCAAAATTCAGAATCAAATGTATCACAATTGAAAAGTCAGGCATCAAAGTGATATAAGTCCCAAACTATAGAGACTATTAGTGTAATTCAACCTAAAGTTAGATTACAACTAAAGTGGTCGCCACTACTCCATCAGCTCGAACCCCTAACATTTTCCTCACCGCACTCTAATGGTGTGGCTACAAGACCACAGTGCTAAACCCAAGGTTAGTTAACAATGTTAAGTGACGCACTTTAATCCAAAATCATATGGGATTTTTTGGCTATATGTGAACCGTATAGGTAAACTGCTATGGCCTCAAATCACAAGAGATAAAATGAATTTTGCCCTAATTTTTATCTTGTGGTTTAGAATTATTAATCTATAAAGTATATTATTTTTTTGCTTTTAGTTTAAGGTCCCTCATATTAAGATTTTATTAGATAAATGACATGTAACATTTTCATAGTAATTAGGGTCCCCTTGACATTTTCACAGAAAGAAATTTTCAACTCTTCATAGATAAATTTCTTTTTTTATAGAGAAATTTCTCTGTCAACTCCTCAATGAAAAATTTTAGCTTCACAGAGAATTTGTGAAGAGCTCAAATTTCTCTGTGACAAATAAAAATTTCTCAAATAATATTATTGAGAGACCTTAACTAATAAGAAAAAATATATCTTACATCTTCTACTACCCAAAGTTGGAGAGATGTTTTACTAATTTTTTCTATTATTTTTTTAAAAAATTCTTATAAAAATATTTTTAGATCTAATAGGCTCACATAAACAACAATGATACATCTCACTAATTTGACAGCACTAATGGACCACTAATGAGGTGGAAATTCAAAAAAAAAAAATAAGGCCAAAACATCACATCAGTCAGTGGGACCCACTCTCTAGAGCTCCTTTAGTGCTCCCAATTTAGAGCTCCCGAACATTTTTCCCACATAAAAAGGTGATGTGGCTGGTGACTTATGTGGGGGTAATGGGCTTTTCTTGTTGCGCTCTGTATGCCCAACTCATCTTCTGAAATTGACAACGGTACAATTTTTTGTGAGATTATTCTTTTTTGTTTCTTTTGCTTCTTCTTTCCCCTTTCTCCCTTGAATATTCAACAAATATGAAAAATCAAATTTTTTTTTTTTTGTTTAATTAAAGAATTGAACTTGAGTTTGGCTTACCAAAGATTTGAGAAACTCGAGTTTCGCTCGAGTTAGCTCGATAATGTAGAGAGGTAAGTTCAAAACTCGAGCTCAAAAACAAGTAAACAACTTTTTTTAATAAACAAGTCAAATATGTAAATTTGTGCAAATACCCAATATAAATAGAGAATAATATAAATTGAAGACAATATATTTGATATATTACTAAAAATAAATTTCAATTTACTTAGATTTGTGTTCACGAGCCTAGTCAAGTCAAATTTGGGTCTACTTGAGTTGTTTTAGGAAATTAGTTAAAAGTTGATTTTTGACTTCTTTTTTTTTTTTTAAAAAAAATGTGTAAAAAAGTAGAGAGGTTATGTGACCTAAAATAAGTTAAAAGTTAAAATTTAATTTTTAGCCAAGTTTCCAAATTAGGCCTACTAAACCAGTCTAAAAATTTAGCTCAAGTTCATCCATTTAGCAAATAAACTGAACTGAAATTGTCATAAATAACTCGATTTATTTACATTTCTAATTTCTTGCCACCCTAAAGCATTTTTGAATGTTTGTCAACACTTTTACAATTGCAACACATTTCTCGTCACCTTAAAACATTTAAGCTTATCTTCTTTATAGACAATGAAAGTTGGGCATTTTTCTAACTTGTTCTACAAAAAAATAATATATGGATTAGATCAAGGAAAAAACTTCCAAACTCAATTCATTTTTTGAAGCTTCCAAGAAAGATACTAAAACATAATTGACAAATTTGACAAAGAAATAAAATCATTTTGGAAGCTTCCAAAAGGAAAAAGAAAAAGGAAAACAATAAACTTCCTAAAGCACCTCCAATCAAATCTTCTTGTTTTTGGAGATGTCAAATTATTTATTTTTCCAAAACTTCCTAGAGTAATGCTATATATATATTTTCAAACTGATGTGCAAATAAGTTGTTCCAATCATTTTATTCCAACTGATTGCATATCAAATACTAAAATTTTGTTATTGCAGGCCACATCCAGGGCGGACCCCGAATTTATTTGTTTAGGGTGCCCAATTAATACAATAAATGGTAATTCTAAAAAAAAAAAAAATCTCTTAATAATGTTTTGTATAGTACATTCTTTAAAAATATAAGAAAATACTAATGACGCCTATTTTTTTACATTAGTCTGGATATACTTGTAAAAAATCTATAAAAATATATAATAATATTTAAAAATTTGGCAATGAGTTTTAAAAAAAAAAAATTGTATTGCTTAATAGTATTTCAAATATTTGGACATTTTCTTTATTTTACAAGACTAGGATTGCTTAATTTATGAAAGTATTTGGAAAAAGTTTATTAAATAGAAATAACTTAAAATAATTCTATTTTGTGGAAGTACAAGGAATATGCAAGTGAGAGTTATTTGAATTTATCATTTTATAAAAGTGTAATTACTTTGTTCTTAAATCTAATTTTTCAAAGGGACTACACAAATCATACAAGGAAAATGACATATTCAAATAATAAATAAAATAAAATAAAGAAAAAGGAAAGAAGAGGAAAATGACATGAAAAATATATGTGAAACAAAATTATTGGTAAGGCTTCATAGATTTTTATACCAGAAAATGTTCCAGTTTGTCTTCAAGTCAAGGTCAACACCTTTTTTGGGGAACAATTTGGACCATACTCTACACAGGTAGGTACAGTATTTTGTTGAATAAATGGGTTCAGTTTGATAGAGTTCTTATATTTCTCATCATTCCAGGGTAAAATGGTAAAAGTACACAAATCTACCAGTAAAGCGAAATGATTTGGAACCTCATTAATAATCGCAGTGTATTTATATTAGAATCTTCTTCTGATTGATAGGTTGCTTTGTTGGATTGACTGATTGAGTGACTGACTCTACAATAAAGTGAGAGTTTCAGCAATCAGGTGGAAAAGATGCGTTTCTCTGATCAATTAGAAAGTGACTCTTCATGAGGGGAAAAAAAAGAAGAAGCCCTAATTAAGCATTAAAAGCTGAATCTCCAGAAATGATATCAGAATCTGAAATGCAGCTTCAAAGTACAACCATTCATGTATCCCATTTTTTAGAAACATTATTTGCTTTCAGATACATCTCACATTGCAAACACTAAAAAACACCCCTACTTCAAAAAGAAAAGAACATAACCTTTGACAGTAGTGTCAACCCTTTTTCTTCCTCTTCTCCTCCACATGACTGACTGTTTCAAATTTTATGTTCTCTAATCTCAAAACAATCATAATTATTGAATTATGTTTTGAAAATTATTATGTAATTCAATAACTGTGTGATTGTTTCAAGACAAAGAGACAAAAGAAACTAAGAATCCGAATGTCTAGTGATAAGTTGAGATCAGCCGAAATCAATAAGTGTGATCCAATATTAGAGGGACTTATGATGTCTTGTTTTTAGTTATGCATTGGGTACCTAACTCCAGTTGCCAGAGCTCTTTGCTGTTCGATCTGCATCATGAAATGATAATTATTCAGTACTAACTCAATAGTATTTAACTTCTCAAAGAGTAATTGGAATGATGGTCTGAAATTACTATAATAAAGGCAAAGATATGGTAGCAACAATCAATATTTTAAATATCAATTGTTGCATATGATATCCATCATGTATTGAAATTTTAGCTTTTCAATAATGTTCATTGATATATAATTGTTACTGTCTAATATTAACTAATATTATGATTGTATCATTAATATCGATATATATCTTGATATCATTTCGTGTCGGCAATACAGTATGATATTAGTTGATATAGGATAATGCCATCCATAATTTGAAGTAATGGTATCAAGATATGCATCATTATGAGCAAAATATTCATATATTAGTCAATATTGGATAGTATTACCAGTCGATATATAATAACCATATTAAAAGTCCAAAATCTTGTTAGGTTATAATTACTATATATGTAATGGTTAATATTTAAAATGTTGATATCAGTCAATATATCAGTAAATATAAGTATTAAAAGTTCAAAATTTTCAATCGGTAAGTATCAGAGGTTATTTAAAGGGAGAATTTCAGATCAATGTAAAACTTGAAAAATAATTATAAATTAATAATAAATTTTATCAATATTAATTATAATTTTTTCATGTATATATAATATTTTTCTCAACTTCCCACTGCTATGTAATTTTTCCTTAATTAAAACCAGATTGTGATTATTTGAAACAAGATTGAAGTCAAGCAATATAAGTTTAGAATTGTAATGTAAATGTAATGAATGGTGGTATGAGATATTTTACTTGGAAGAGTTCGTGGAGTTTGTTCTTGAGATAGCAATATTCGTGCTCTAGCAGCTCTAAAGCTCGCAAGCATCTGTAACCCACATGCAGAAATAAACAAATAAATCAAAAACAAAAACAGAAATGAAAACTTATTTTTATAAAAACAAATCAAAAACAAAAACAGAAATGAAAACTTATTTTTATAAAAACAAATAGGAGCTCTGGGTTTTAAAATATATATATATTATATATATATATAAAAAGAAGAGAGAGGAGAGAGAGCAGAGGACGCACGCAGTTCGGTTATTCTGTTCGGAAGCGGCGCGAAAGGCAACGCATATATTTCTGACCCTTTTGGCACCAATGCTAGAGCTGCTCCCCATAAACTGGTTCAAATGGATTCCCACTTTTGTGTAGTCCGAAAACTCTCTTTCTTGCCTGTTTCCTCACCATACATAAATTATCATATGTTAATGACTTTTTTTTTAAAATTATTACAACAATAGTATTAGTATGAGTTTTGACTTGAAAATAAAAAAATTATATTATTTTGTACGAAATTGATGTAGGATATCATTGTTCAATTCAAAATATATGGAACCATATTAAAAGATATAGCAATGAATATGAATTTTCAAAAGTTTAAAAAAAAAAAAAAATCAGCTAATATTTAAAACTATCTTCATGTAAAGGATATGAAAAGAAACACGTTTTGATTCAAAATAAAAGAAAAAAGTTAAAAGGTCTGAAAAAGTAATTTGAAAATGAAGTTTGTGGGTATAAATTCAAATTTAGTATAATTTTAATTACACAAGAAAGAATTTGGTAATTATTACTTATTTTAGGCATTTTTTTTTTTTTGGAATTTATGCTGTTTTCTAAATCACTATAGAAATGCAGAAAAACCCGTAAACCAAAATTAAAAAGTATGTTAAGTTGCTAAGACAAGTTTAACAATGTGAATGGTGTGTGTGTCTGAGAGGGAGAGTGAGAGAGAGAGAGAGAGATTAGTGGTTACAGTAGTAGGCCTCTGAGATTCCTCAAGAGCTTCTCAGATTCATGGAAGTAGATGTTGACAACCTCAGAGACAAAGTTGGGAGAGGACTCATCTTGAAGCTGTTGTAGCTGCAAAAACTGCTCATCCAACACTCCCTAACCCAACAAATAACCACATTTTAACACTTTTCTTAATCACCACTATACTATAACCATCACATTTATATAAACAAACACCTATTTAGCAACAAAAATGAAAAATAAAAATTGAGGGTTGAAAGTTACCTGGTGAAAGAGTAGGGCGAGCAAACGATTCATGTCATCTCGCAACCGATCCATGCTCAACCCGAGCATCCACAGAGGCAGACCCGTCTTGGCTACTTTGTTCTTCAATCCCCACAAACAACTTTTGGATAGAATAGAAGAAAGAAAGAGAAGCAACAATAGCACTGAGGATGAATAGATTGATTGAATTGAAGAGCTCAATCAATTGTTCTTTTGTTGTTCGGCTGAGGACGTATATATACTGAAATCTTAGAATAAATTAGGAAACAACTAAATCTATTCTACAGTTTCACACATATGTAGGCTAAATTTAAGCAATAACTTAATTACAGTAGATTGCTTTACAGGAGTGATTGATGATGAGTTTGAAAGTGTTTTTGAAGGCTTCGTGTCCTTTTAGAGAGGGAAGGCTGAGTTCAGGGTGGTCGTATTTATAGGATGGGCCTGCCCTGTGTCCAACCCACTTTAAAAAGGAAAATTATTTGGTGGTCCGGCGTCCCAATTTCACTTTTATTTGATTTATACAAGACAAAGAAAAAAATATTTGAGATCTATACAAATAAATAAATAAAACTTTGACTATATAGTCAATGATATAAGACTCAACTTGTTTGCCAAATCATCTTTATTGTGAGTGAATTTATTATTTTAAAATTGTGAGTCTCTATTATTTTTTATTAAATTGTGCATAATATATATATATATATATTTGATCAAGATTGTAGGATGTTAGTTTTATTAGTAAAATTAAATTGTAGTATTTTAGTTTTGTTAGTAAAATTAAATTATAACTAAAAAAGTCACCGTTATTCTATCAGCCTGAATCCCTAACCTTTCCCCTCCCCATACATTAAAGATGTGGCTATTAGATAGTAGGCCAAACCCAAAGTCTACATAATATTTTTCTAAAACTACCAAATAATAAATCCTTAAAATTATAAGGGTAAATTACACTTAAATTTCTTGAGATTTGACTTTAATACATATTATCCTTGACATTTGGAAAATTACATTGACCCCTAGTTATTGTAATTATTTACACGGAATGAAAATATTAAACTCATCCACTCTCTCATTTCTCTACTTTGTTTTACTTTCTCTATTTTTTTTTTTCCTTTGCTTTAGTTTTTGTTTTTTTCAATGTAATATCCTATGTTTTTCTAGTAGAAGTTGTTACCTTTTATATAAATAGGAGGTTTGTGAAATGAGACTATTAACTACAAAGGTAGAAATGTAATTTCCAAAACGTTAGGGAATAGGATGTAATTGGATCAAATCTTAGGGAACGTCAGTGTAATTTACACAAATTGTAATCTAATCCTTGAAGGGTTAATAATATTCTAAAACTACCAAATAATCAATCTTTTAAATAGTAATATTACAAATCTAAACTTAATTACTCAAAAATTATTTAGAATTAATATCTTGTGATTCATATTTATTCTATATGGGGGTGTTTGGGAAGCCAAAAATTAGTTTTTGCCTAAAATTTATTAAAAGACAAAATAGACTAAAATAATCAATAAGGCAAAATCCCACATTAAATCTATAATCATTTCACTTTTTTTTCTCACAAATATCACATTTAACTACAAAAAAATCTAACATTTCTTTCAAACAAAAATATTTTAACCTACTAAAATAATCAAAAATTAAAATAACCTATTAAAATAAACAATTTCTCAAACGAGACTGTAGACTTAATATTACACCAATTTAATTTTAATCACATAGTATTATTCTGATAAATTCAAGATAGATAATAGTGAGTTCGCATATGACAAATAGTGTAAGCCTTTAATGTACCCTCAAACACGTGCTACATATGGCGTGAGCTACACGGTCCACCACAACAATATCCATCTTGTCTTTATTTTAAGGTCTTTTTTTTTTTTTTTAAAGGACTACTTTAAGGTATTAAAGCATCCGTATTAGGTTTAATAAATTTTTAGCTAAATTATTTTTATTTACTTTTTCTATTTTATTTACTAACATATTTTGTATGTACACCTATATTAGACTTTCTATTTTAAAAATTAAATTTTATAAAATATTTATTTTGTATTGTTAAAAAGCATAGCAGTAAAAGAAGTTGCTAATTTTATTTTATTTATGTATATTGCAATGTCATATTCCTTAAAAATAAATTTAATAATTATGCAGCAGTTGTCCGGCCATTTACTCTCAAAAGAAAAGATCTCTTGCCAATTTATTGTATAACTTGTGAACAGCAACAATGACAAATTTTACAAATTTACTGTAAGACTATTGGAGAATGATTTTGTACTTTTTAAATAAATTTTATCCTAAAATCATAATAGGCAGCCTAATACAAATGCTCTTACTAATAGTAGTATTAAGACTTGTCAATAAGAAACAAATAATATTAAAATATTTAAGATTATTGAGAGGGTAATTTTTGGTGAAAATTGGGCAGAGTTATGAGATGGACTTTATGGCCCAAAGTATGACGGACTGGGTGAAAAAGGGCCGAGAAGTTACTCCGGCCCGAAAGAGATAAATTACTTCGGTCAAAAGAGATGAAGTTACTTCGGCTCAGGACTTGTAAAGCTACTTCGATTTGGACAACTTGGAGTTAGCCCGGTCTCCGAGTTAGTCCGGTCATGGCGTATTCTTGATAGATCGGTCAATACCTTGCTACTCGGTAGCTCGGTCCCAACATATCATGGTTCATGCAAGGGAGAACCGATATGAGGAGTAAAAGGAAGGGCCGAACTAAGGATAGTTTGGCCTACCTCATGGCTCAGCTTAGCCAGTTTACTTCGGTCAAATGGTAGTTCGGCCGTAGTAAAAACCATCCCACTTGGTTTAAGCAGTGGGGGGTGTAAAAGGATAAGCATTATCCTTGAGGAGTATGAATCCTAGGAGGACTCTGCATGGAAGAATAAAAGTCCTACTAGGATTGTGCCACTGGAAACCTATAAAAGCTCACAAGCATCACCTTGGAGGAGGTAACATAATACAACATACAATTTTGCTTCCTAAATACATTGAGCTTTGTCTATTTGTCAAGTTTGCTGACTTAGGCATCGGAGAGGTTTCCGGCACACACCCGCCGGCTAGCTCACGTTTGTGTTTTCAGGTGACAAAGCGACGTCGTACGGAGAAGCGTGAACTTAGTCAACAGGATTATACGAGGAGAATTATTTCTTCCCCGTGCAATTGGCGCCGTCTGTGGGAAAGAACAGACAGAACAAAACCTCTTGATTAAAGCTTCTCCCCTTTGCATTCAATGGCACACATTGAAGAATTGCCGCAGTCCGCCGTCCGCCGTCGACGGACTAACTCTAGAAGGGGGCGCAAGGCGTGAAGGATTACCTTCTGTCCCTCCCATGGCGGACTTGGAGCCCCAAAGACATACCTCCAGGAGGGATGCTAGGGGGAGACGGACTCACAGCCCCCGTCAATCCCATTCTCAAAGTCCCGACAGGCAAAGACGGAGGATTGACCCTCAAGCTCTAGAAGATCGCGTGAAAGAGCAAGATGAATTGATAAAGAAGATGGCGGCGGATATGGAGGCCTTGAAACGCCAGATGAAGAAAAAAGAAGTGGCGACAGGAGAGGGGCGCAAAAACAAGACGCCCCCTCGCCACTCAGAAAATCGTAGTAGGAATACTACACCCTCGCAAGGAGAGAGCAGAAGCCTCAAGACAGGCGACACTCAATCCTGGTCTTCCAGAACTCGTCACTCCAGGTCTGAGAGGATGAGATCTGAAAGGTCATACACTGAAGGAAGCACATATTGGCCCTCGCATTCGCACCAAACCAGATCCAGACAAACCGAGCTACCCAG